ACGTTTCTCAGGCGTCTTAAAGGAAGCGTGACAGCTGGAGTACGGTCCTTTTAAAAGCTTTGAAATCTCCGAATTTAACCTCGATTTAGGAAGCAGCAGCCCGAGCTCTTGCTCCTCCACTCCCGATCCTCCTCCCCTCATCCAGCCCATCATCCGTCCTCCTCTCTCAGAGTCTATTCCAGACGACCACTGCTTGCACGGCATCTGATATTCCATCTACATCCAGAATCGGATCCGCCTCCCAGCTATCGACGTCGCCTTCCACGTTGATCAAGGTGGGTGATTTATATAGGTTAAGATTTAAAACTCCGTGCTTTCTGGCCCATTTTTTACTGCCCTTTAATGTCACTGCTAGCGTGCCACCACAAAAAAACTTAAAAATATGTTTTTACCTTCTTTATTCCGTTTTTCACGCATCAAAAAATTGCGTGCTATTTCGCATTCGGCTACCGTACCCTTCCTGCAAAAACAGCGCATCCCAACAACCGGGAAGACCTTTGATGCATAATTCGGAAAGTACGAAATTGGTGCCGGAAACCCCGGGTATTTTGGGGATTCCGCAGCGCTCCATAGTTCAGCGCCGCCGGGCCCAAAAGATCAGCAGCATTCTGTAGATTTTTTGGGGCTTCGGGGTGGAAATTTACGTAATTTGCATGCTGGGAATCCGCAAAAAATGGCCTCATTGGCCAAAAAGGCAATTTTAAAGGGCATTTTAAAGACGGCGAAACTTATGGATTTTTGGCTTTCGGGCCCCTTTATAGGTTCAGAAAAATGCCCGGGACTCGTGGGACATGAAATGTCGATTTTCGATTTTCAAGAGAGCATCAAGGCAATGAGACCCAGAAATTTTTGTCTTCCAAGTTCTTTTAAACGCTCAAAAAATCCCAAAAGGACGTACCGGCACGCTACTTTTGACGCTACAGTACTCTCCGTAGCTCCTGCTACCGTATCATACGTTTCCTAGCATCTCACAAAAATGTCTCCCCTCGGGCCACAAAGTTCACCTCCATGCGGATTAGCCGGGAAGCTGCGGCCCAATTGATCCCCCTAACCGTAATATGGTGTCTCCCGGAATTTTGAGTGTTTGGTTTGGAGGAAACCCCGCGAATATATCCCTCTTGGCTTCCATTAGCAAATCGGGGATTGGCGAATAAAATGCCCGGAACGTTGCGTAGCCGGAGTTTCTTTATGAGGGATTTGGACTGGAAACACTCAAATGACCCATGAATGATTGTCGATCAGAAGTATTCCCCCGGTGAATGAATTCTATGAAGCAGCAGAAAAACTCTGACTTCGACAGGAGTTTAAATAGCTCTGTGGTTCCTTCTTTTATAAAAAATTAAGCGAGATTGTGCAAAATGACAAATGGTACATAAAAAATATTGACCCGACAAATATGCTAATTTTTTCATTTTCAGGGCGAGAACGCTGCGTGGGCACCGCTTCCGATTCCGCAATCCAGGTCCATTACCTAGAACCTTCATGTATCATGGATGCAAACCATTTTTTCGAGTAAACCCTAAAATCTCTCGCCTCTCTCTATCATCTCTCTCTCTTTTTCTCTTTCTCTCTCTCTCTCTCTCGCTCTCTTCTGCTGACACTTACAAAACTAGCATTTTCCAAAAATTATTTTTTCGACGGCCACAATTTAAGCTGGGCGGTGGACCGGAAAGAAATCCAGGATTCCGCAGGCGGGGGATAAGGTGACTTTTGGGGGTAATGGTTGCAGTTGGCCCGTTACAATAAAGAGTGCTGATTAAAACGGGCTAATGCGGGTCGAGGCCGGGATCCGGATCAGGGTTTGGCCTGTTCGGTTTAATCATCAAAAAATTGCAATTTTGAGGTTTTTGGTTTGCTGCAGTTTTTGGAAGCGTGTATAGGAGTTGGAAGTTAAAGTCAGGGAGAGGGGGAAGAGAAAGAGAAGAAAGAGAGAGAGAAGAAGAGGAGAGAGAGAGAGCGAGATAGAGAGGAGTCGCACGCCAGCTTTTTGCTAGCTTATTAGCCTTTTCTTGGTCAAAAGCCCTTTCTAAATCCAATTTCCGGTAAAAACTCATATCCTCTTCCCCGGGAACACCGCATAAAAAATGTGCTGTGGATGTGTCAAGTCATTCTCAATCATATTCCCATTATTCTCTCTCATCGCTCCGCGGCGAACCCATCAACGGGTAGTATCGCTCCGGAGGCGGAGGATCGATCTCATCTTTTGCTTTCGAACCCGAGCGCCCGGCCCGAGCCCCCGAAACACAACTCAAGGCCGTTCTGGGCTGGAGCTTGGTTTCTCCCTCTCTCTCTCTCTCTCTCTCTCTCTCTCTCTCTCTCTCTCTCTCTCTCTCTCTTACGCTCTCTCTCTCTTTCTATCTGCGCTCACTCTCGCTCTCTATCCCGACACTGTACGCTACGCTCCCCCTCCAAAACTGTCGCCACCGCAACACACCTAAACAGGGACCGACCAAAAATCAAAAGCCAAAAATTCCAAGGGCAAAACGAGGAGTAATACTTTTTAAAGGGCCTGAAAGATAAATTTTCCAAAGTCCAAGAGAAACCGTTGCATTCTTGCCTTCCTGGCCCCTTTAAACCACGTAAAAAATTGATCAAACAATGTAGTTGTTTATTGAATGAATGAAAACGAGTACCGTACGCAAAAATCCTTTTTACAGTAGAAAAATTATTTGCTTTGGTACCAGAATACCGTAACCCATCCCCTTTTCAGCCGCAGCGTCTTAGAAATTCGGCACTACACTGCAGCGCCGACAATCACTGCGGATCACTAATGGTAGGCCCCCCCCCCCCTTGGAGTCTGGCGTGACCTAGTGGACGCAAGGGTCGATTTTCACCTTCCTAGTTCCTTCCCGTCTCGTTCATTGTTTCAGTCTCTGATTGACCTCAAAAGTGGGCGCAGAGTTCTGTCGGAATCGCTGTGGACTTTGTTCAATCGAGAAACGCGTCGGTGGGGCCGGAAAGCTTAGAATTTGCATATAGAGGGAGCGAGGGTAGAGAGAGCGTAGAGATACAGAGAATAGAGAGACAGAGAGCGGAGCCAGAGGCGAGGGAGTAGAGAGAGAGAGAGAGCCAGAGTGAGTGAGGGAGAGAGTGATAAGCCAGCTAGAGTGCAAGCAAGAGACAGACAGTGAGCGAGAGAGAGCTAGCGAAACAGCGAGATAAATGGAGCACGAGCTCGCCCTCCCCTTGGGTTGTTTCGCTGGTCAGAGCGCGGGCTCATCGGACTTTTGCTCGCTCGCCAAACGGACAACCCGGGGAGAGGAGCGCGGCAGTTGTAGAACCGTAAATGGTCGACCGATCGGATAGGGAGCGAGAGAGAAAAGAGAGGGAGCGCGATATTTGGGGAAATCTTTTCGGGGGTCGGCTCGAAATTGAACTTGCTGAATCTAGCGGAATTTAGAGAGGAAGTTGATAAGGATTTCAAAATTTAGCCGAAGAATTTCGCTAAGAAGAAATATTGCTAGGCTGTAGAATTTTGCCTAAAGAAACACGGCCAGCTTTGCCCGGTCCAATCCAAATTCATAAATTTCGATTCTTGAATTTTCTCAAAAATCTCCGATAGCTGGCCTAGAATTTCCAAAAAAAAAAACTCTGTTAGTCTGTGCGCCTTTTCCGTAAGGTTCTCTGCTAGCTTGCCTCAAAATCTGATAATTTTGGAATGCTAAAATCCATCCTAGCTACCGTACGCTATACTTTATCCCATTTTCAGAATCCCGCAACCGATGTCGTGCCTGCCGCTTCCGGAATTGCCTGGAGAGGGGTGGAATGAATCCAGCTGTGATAGAAGAGAGGAGCAAATCCGATCGACTACCCCAAGATCATCACCACCATCGCCCCCAAGAGCCGCAGCAACCCGTCCGGACGGCTAGCACTCCAGGTTGGTGTTGATCTTCGGACTCAAAAAGTTATGCTCAAGAATTCAAAAATTCAAGGATCTCGGCTCGCCTGCCCTGAAAACATTTTTTCAGAAGTTGGTATTGTATTCCTTGAAAATTCAAGGAATCTCTGCGGAAACACCTTTCCAGGCTGAGCAATGCCTGCCAAATCACACCCCAACTACCGTAGCAAATGTTTACGAAATCATGCGCCAGCTACCGTAATCCTCCGTTTATACATATTCCATTTGGCTACTGTAGACATCCATCTTCATTGGGGATCGAATCGAAATAAAGGGGCTGATAATTGCCGAAGCGATCACTTGCTCATTATAGCCCCTCTCTGGCGACATAACGAGCAGGTTTTGGGGCTTGTTTTCTGCAGCCTTCTGTCTGTGTCCGTCCGCAGCTTTCTGTTCTTTTCTCTCTCTCTCTCTCTCTAGATACCGGTCATCCCTGGCTAAAAATTAAGAAAAATCGTAGATTATTCCGACCCTTTAGGCGCCGATATTCAGCTGAAACTCACTAAAAAGCTGAAGCTCGTATTGTAAACAAGAGTAACTTCTTCTCCCCGAGCTCATTGCTCATCTGCTCTCATGATAGCTGAAATGTTCCTGAAGTTTTTATGGCCATTACTTCGTTTCAAAATCCTTTCACAATCAGCTTATTCTCACTGAGCTCGTGCTCATTTCCTTGAACGCATTGATCTTTAGCTGTATGACTGGGTGTGGCTGTTTACGAACATTCCAGGCTAAAAATGGCATGGGCATTCCCGATTAGACCCCTCATTTGGTCAACTTTTCAAACTCCCTTGATTCGTCGTGGTTTCGTGTTGCTGTTCCGAACCCTTTAGGAATGATTGAAATGGCATTCCCAATCAGGCACGTAAGCCGATCACTTTTTGAACTCCTTGATCTCGCCGTGGTTTGGTGTGGTGTTTACGGCAATGCGTTCGGTGTACTATCGCGTTCAGCCCGTCACCACGTCCCGGGGATCACCCCGAAACAGCACAAAATAGACAAACTGTTTGGTATGCCGAGAGCGGCACATGTTTTCGGCCGGGATCCAAATTCACGCTCCGATTCCGCGGGGCTCCGCTGGTTTTTTCTTTACGGCGTTGTCTCGATGATCAGCAACAGCCAGTGGTTCGCGGGGGGCGGCTGACTGATCCTTCGCTCTCGGCGCGTCACCACCGACGATCTCTCGATTGGAAAACGAAAAAGAGTCGCCTGAGTCGACCTTTTTCGGCAAAATCCTGAGTTTTTTGGGCAGACCGGGGATGGGCAGAAAATAAATCAGAGAATGGACAAACTTCCGCGACAAGGTCTAAAGCAAGCGCGGAGTTTTAAAGGTACCTGGAAGCGATTTTCAGATTACAACGTTGTCGTGAACTAACTTTTTGCTAGAATTCCGTATAAAGTTTGAATCTTGAAAATAAGGCACGCGACGACTTCAAGAGGTTCAGTGCTGCGTTTACGGCTGGCCTTCTCGAGGCATTTCGATATTTCCAGGGTCAGAGGCAAGCTCATAAGCAGGCGCATGAACAACGCCGCCCGGCGAGACTTCAAGGAGTTCAAATAGCTTGCGGTGGCTGGAAGGTCATCCAGGTCGACGTCATCAAGGAGTTCGGGAAAGTTCTGGGGTCCAGGCTCATCTTGAGACTTGTTCTCATTAATGCGCACAATTTTTAAGTTCTATCCCACGTCACGAGCAAGGTCAGCGCCTTTTTCTCCCAAAAACCCGTTTTCAAGCCCTGAAACCCGATTTAGCGCCCAGCTTCATGTCCGGAATCCTGGATGCGCCACTTCCGCCGTGATAGGTTCAAAATAACAACCCCAGCGCGCCGCGTCCCCGCCCATACAGCCCGTGCCACGCGTCAAACTCTCGCCCCCAAAAAATGCCGCGAAAAAATTCCTGGCGCAGATGTGCAAATGGACGCGCGGAGCGGAGCGGCGCGTAGGCCGAGAGCCCGAAATCCATACCCGGCACCAGAGTTCGACGCCCTTCACCGACCTACACAACAGTACGGTATACGTCGCGGGCGACACCCCCCAAATCGGCCTAGCGCGGTTTGTTTCGATGATCAGCCCCGTGCTCTAAACGGGCAGGCGGAATCGGCGCCCTGCCTGAAAAGCCGTTAGAAAACCCTGTGCGCCCGGGCGATAGCGACCGATTTTGGTGAGCCGCACCAGGGGGACCCGCGTAAATTGGAGCAACGCGGATTTTTGGGCGCAAACCGCGGGGCTACGGTAGAAATAGAGTGCAGGAAACGGCTTGAGATCTTGCCCGCGGATATCGAGTCCAGAACAACGGAGTTCAGCTCCCGGATTGCCTGCTAAAAAGCGGACCCTGATCTAACTGACCTCTTGCTCCTCTTGGGTGGATGAAAACCTGATTGGGAGCGCTTTTTCGGGGAGTACCTGAAATAATATTGACTTAATTGTTAAACAAACTTTATTATTACGTGTCGCAACGTCTGAATTACAAAACGTCGAAAAATGTGATTTCGAAAGCGTCTAGAACCGAATTGAAAAACGCTCTGACTCTAAAAATTACAAAATTTGTCAATGCAAAATATTGTAAAACAAAACTCTTAACACCAAATTAAAATAGCTTCTGAAAAACTTGAAAATTGCCGAAACTTGAAAACCAGTTTAAAACCGAAAACTTGGTTATTTTTTGTGACTACGGTATCTGAAATTTCGGAATTACAAGAGTCGTCGTTTTTACGCAAAAGCAGCTATTTTTGTACAAATTATTCGAAAAAAGCTGTTTCCAATGAAGTTTGCATTTTTTCGCAACAATTTTAAAAAATCTGAAATAACCTTTTTGTGCAGCCAATTTTTCATTGTAATTCCCCTCAAAACTGGACATATGATCAAGCCGTACAGCAACTACCGAGAGTACGTAACGTCCTCTCTTGCTCATGCTCCAAAGCTCCTGCTCCCTCGAGTCACACTCCACTTTTTGAACCTGCCACCCCCAAAAAGCCCTTGACCTAGGGAAGAAGCCCGGCGCCAAAACAGTGTCGGCCCGCTTGGACGGTGTGGCTCTTCGATTCGAGGGAGGATCGAATCGAAAAGAGGCTGATCCTTCGCTCCGTGGTACGCCCAGGGCATGACGGCGTTTCTTGCGGAATTGCGGGATGTCTGGTTTTGGCTTTTGCGGCTGGGAGAAACTGAAAATTGATTACTGATTAAAAGACATCAGTACTTGGGCAAGCTAGCAGAGAATGTTTGGGAATGCAAAAAACTATAAAAAGCATCCTTGGAAACACTAAAAATTATCTAAAACCCTATAAAAATACTATTAGAGCCTTGGCAAGCTAGCAGAGACCTTTTGGGAAGCCCACAAAACTAAAGAGAGAGCGGCTCGAGAAAAACTGAAAAATTAGCTCAATATCGTCAAAAAATACTGGCGATAATTGGGCAAGCTAGCAAAGAACCTTTGCTAAGTCTTAAAACCGAAAAATAAAATGTATACCTAGAGAAACACCCAAATTACCTTACCCCTTTCCAGTCGAAGAGCAGCAGATCACGCTCTTCCTCGCCGCCCTCGAGCGCCAGTGCGAGCAGCTCACTGACGAGGATGCTACGGTAAACATCGCTCTAATTACCGTAACCCACATACAGACCGAGCAGTCGCAGCTGCACGAGATCGCCAAGCAGGTCACCGACAGCCTCAGCCTACAGAATATCGCCCGGGTGCGCAGGAGGCCGGTGAGTATTCTTCTAGAGATCAAAAAGTGAAAATGAAGCGTGTCTTGATACCCAAAAATATTTACATTTTTCCACCCAAAAGCTGGTTTTTGGCCTTCTAAAGCCATAACAAAAAAAAATCTACGGGCTTATCCACTTTTAAAGCCCGAAAACGCCTATTTTGGTCGTTGCAAAACTATAACAGAAAAATCTTCTAGTTTTTAAGTTATAAAACTAAAACAATGTTGATTTTAGTGATTCTAAAGTCACAATCACTAAAAAACAAGTAGGAGAAGCTATACCTTTTACAACTAACCCTTATAGATGGTGTGGACGTGCGAGCGCGTGATGAGCGACGAGGACATCTCATCGGCCTGGTACCGCGCCTTTGTGCTGCTGGCCGATTGGGCGATGAGCATTCCGGAATTCCGGATACTTCCTCAGAACGATCAGGTAAGCACCTCAAATAGTACCGAAATCCTAGATTTTAAAACCACAAAAACCTTGCTAAAATGGTCTTTTTCAGACAACCCTCTTCCGCCAGAACTTCAACACGTTCGGCTGGCTGCACTACGCCTACAAGTGGTAAGCGAATTATTCCTATTTTTCTAAGTGTCGTTATTATCAGTATAGAATTTATTTATATTACCACTTTTATCTAACTTTTCCAGCTTCTCGCACGGCCACATGGCGATGGGCACGCCGATCGGCAACGGCTCCTACATTCCCTACCAAGATATTGATCTGATCAAGCTTGGGCCAAAGTGAGTGGTTTTCCAAAAAAAGACGTAAAAATCGGTTTTTAGAAGCTTCTAAATAACCTGTAAACTTTAAAGCCTAATAACCCCCCTCTAGATGGGCCGCCACCTACGGGCAACTCGGCAAAAGATTATCGAAAGCCTCGTCAACCGATAGCCGAGTTAGACATTGATGAAGAGGAGTATTGCCTCCTGAAAACCATCGCCCTTTTTCATCCTGGTGAGTTGATAGTAAGTGTACAATGGCTTTGAACTAGGGACATTAAAAAGTATCAAAAACAAGCCTCTTTCAGACAACTCGCTGTCCGACGCTGGTGCCGCCATCGCCAGTCGGCAACGCGACAAACTCCTCGAAGCCTTGGCCGTGCACATTGAGCGTCGATACCCAAATCTCAGCACGTCCCAGAAGACGGCTAGGACCCTGAAGTCCAGCCTGCTCTTCCCTTCACTTATTGTAGGTTTTTAATCTTTAAAGTGATTGCGTAATTCATCTCCAAATCCCTAGAAGCAACTCATTTTCAACTTTCAGGCAGTATCCCAATTCGAGGCCTCCTTCATGCAAAACCTCAGCGCGCTCGAGGTGGCCTCCCTGTGCGGCATCTCCGGCGACGTGCTGCGCTCCCTCGAACAAAGTAGAACCCTGTCACCCCCGCTCCATTACCCAGCTTTCATCCCAGTTCACCACCATTCCCCCAACGGGTAAACCCTCCAAATATTGTGATCCTAGATGTCGTGCGGTTATGCCAAACCCTGCCGCCCAATGCATATTCTCTCTTTTTCTGCGATGTATAATGAACCTCATACGCCACTAACGCCTTCCAAATCCCCACCATAATCACAACGTATTTCCTTACAGTTCATATCTCAGGGCAAAATAAATCTTCTATCCGAATGGCTTCTGAATGCACAATGGCTAAATGATTGCATGCTCTACAGGCTATAGATGTGCGCAGCGATCAGCGACAAGCAAACATAGGTTCCAATGATTTATAATGCGATTTAGTTCCACAACATCGTAATGTAACACCTTTATAACAAAAACAAAACAAAAATGATACTTATTTCTTGGCGGCGGTGCCGGCGGCGGCCTTCTTGGTTCCTCGGACCTTCTTCATCCTGTTCTTCTTCTCCTTGCGTTGTTTCCTGCCACCCTTCTCCTTCTTGGTAGCAAGTCCGAACTGAAAAAGAAAGATTAAGAATTTCGACAAAAATATAGCAACCAATGTTCCTACCCAAGGCGCTAGAAACATCGCCAATCAATGGTCAAGCCTAACACCTCTTGAAACTGCTAAGCAAAGCAAGACTAGAACTACTCCAGGAGTTATCACACCTTACAACAACACAATCCATAAAATTACGCGACCAGGTCTTTAGACAAAAAAAATGCAGAACGGCAGCACCATAGTCACTAATTTTGACAAGAACACCGCTTTGTTTCAAGTCTTTCCCGAAGAAGAAAAGCATACATAAAAAGCAAACGTACTCGGATCAATCGGTGCTTGGGCTCGAACTTCTTGCAGAAATCCATGGAGTCGTAGACGAGGGCGAAGCCTGCGCTGCGGCCACCTCCATATTGGCACCGGAATCCGTAGGCGATAACGAGGTCCTTGGTCGTCTTGTAGATGTGGGCGATCTTGTCGCGGATCTCGTCCTTGGAAACGGACGGGCGTCCTGGATGGATGATCTCAACAACCTGAAGAAAAAGTTTGATAAAGCGCTTAAAACAATTGTTACCATCTGTTTCCGGGCGAGTAGGGGGTTGCTGAGCACCTTGCGCGTGCGAATTGTCACGACGTCACCCATATTTGCGGAGCAGGTGCTGCCTGGAAAAGTGAAATATATAATTTGCACAAAAGATGAAAATGAAAGGAGACGCAGGTTAGTGAATATGAAAGTCCGTGAGCCCAATCCCGTCGTTTACACTGAATTATAAAGGCCAAGAAGATAAGAAGCGGGTCATAAATTTTGGACGACGACTTCTGCGCAAAAGCATTCGGAAACTAGAAAGATTGAAAAACACAGAGTTGCAATAGTAGCTCATCGTTGCTGAAAAGTTGTTCCGAGAGTTGCCGAAAACCCATGGCCCCAGATGTTCAAAATTCTCAACAACATGCTCGAAACACAAGAGTGCAATGGCATAAAGCAGGAAAACGCCACAAGAGCACTGAAAGCGATAACTTTTGCCGAAATTACAAAATTTGGCATGAATTTTCCCATTATTTTAGCAAAATCCAGCGAAAAAGCGGGCAAGGCCGTGGAAATGTTCAAAGGCGGGTGGCCGCGACAGGACCCCGGCACTCAGTGGGTACGGTGTAAAGGGGCTGGGGCGCGGTATAGGAATGACGGGCCGGCGACCGGGGTTCAAAACCCAAAAAGATGCAAGTTTGTGCAATTTGATGTTTACCGATAGAATTCGGAGCGTTAACTTTAGTTAAAATAGCAAAGGGTACAAGAATATCCGGTGTAAAATATTTATTGATCCGAATAGACAACGTAAAAACAATGAAAAATGGGTAGGCTCCTTTTTATCCTTCCTTCTTCTCAATTCGCTCCTTGTAGCTGATGAGATGGTCGTTGAACTGTCTGGCGACGGGCATATACACTTCGCATTGCTTCTCGAAGTCGGCGGAGAGTTTCGTCATCTCTTCGGCCAATTCTCTGCCCTCGTCGTAGTGTGCCTTCTCTTTGATCTCCTTCAACTTATCGGCGCCGGCCCTCGTCATCGTCGCCATTCCGTCCTGAATCGAGGCGTGAAGGTGCTGTAAAAGAACCCTACATATGGGCAAATTGTAAAAACGAGAATTCTTGGTATTTAAAGACTTACCTGAAAATTCTTGCCGTAGCCCTCGAAAACGCCGAGAATGTGGGGGGAGACGTACGATTATAGAGTGACGAGAGCTTAAATTGGAGAAGCGTAACGATCTCGTGCCCTCGATGCGACTTGACAAAACAACCGCCACACGTCGCTACCGAGCAATCGTTGCAATGGATGAGACTGGCGTATGGAAAAGAATTCTGGCAATTGCGGCATTCCTTCAATGTGATCTTTGGTTTTTCTTCAGCCCCTGCATCGTCTCTAATTAGCTTCCTGGCAAGGTCAGCCGGCTTCTCGTTCAGCAATTGCATCAAGAAATCGAGCAGAATTTTGCATTCCGGATTGGCATCATTGCGGTAGAATGCGGCGCATTGGTAACACTTCGCATCTGCATTATTTTCCATGCAACCATCGCAAATCAAATGGCCACACATCAGAAAATGTGGTAATCGAGGGCTGACGCTCATGAATAACTTCTTGCATCCTGGACAACGCGGAAGTTCCGGAATGCCATGAAGTTGGTATCCACCGGCAATTCTTTCGAACACAGGCTGGCTGAGAAGGTCGAGAAGCCAGTGGGCCAGACCGCCGCCGGTACCATTTAGTGAAAGAGCACATCCGATCCTCATTTCGTCCCCGTAGTGGCCGACGCGGGGGGTCTTCTCGAGCCCTTTCTTGCTGTCAAAAGGCTCACCGCAACCGAGGCAATTTAAGCACTTGTAGATCCACATGCGAGTTGGCGATGTTCCAGTTGCGCAGGTTCCAAACCGCGTTGTGATGCCTAAAATAATTGATAAAACGGGTCGGAAAACGCCATGCAAAAAAAGAAGACAGGCATATCTTAGGCCAGAAATCGGAGTAAAGCAAGTCAACCTTATTAGAAAAAAGGAAATAAAAAACTAGAAAACGAACCAATTTTTCGGTGCTGTCCCATTTTGATGGGATTAATTTCCTGGGGTTTTAGAAAGTAAATTTTAAAATCTTTGGTTTTCCGCAAAGTTTTTCCATGTTTGCAGCGTTTACCGATATAATTTAGAGCATTTCTTGTAGTTAAAATAGACAAATTACAAGAATATCCGGTGTGAAATACTTATTTATGCAAAATAAAACGTAAAAACAATAAAAATGGGTAGGCTCCTTTTTATCCTTCCTTCTTCTCAATTCTCTCCTTGTAGCTGATGAGATGGTCGTTGAACTGTCTGGCGACGGGCATATACACTTCGCATTGCTTCTCAAAGTCGGCGGAGAGTTTCGTCATCTCGTCGGCCAATTCTCTGCCCTGGTCGTAGTGTGGCTTCTGTTTGATCTTCTTCAACTTCTCGGCCGCGGCTCTCGTCATCGTCGCCATTCCGTCCCGAATCAACGCATGCAGGTGCTGAAAAGAACAATAGTTAATTGACACATTATAAAAAAAAGATAATTATCGATTTTCAAAGACCTGCCTGAAAATTCTTGGCGTAACCCTCGAACAGGCCGAGAATTTGGGTAGATGCACGACCCTGGAGTGAGGAGAGCTCGACTTGTAGAAGCGCAACAATCGCGTGTCCCTGATGCGACCTGGCAAAACAACCGCCACACGTCACCATCGAGCAATCCTTGCAATGGATCAGGCTGGCAATTGGAAAACAAATCTGGCAATGGCGGCATTCCTTGATTGCAATCCTTGGCTTTTCATCCGCTTCTGTATCTTCTTTTATTAGCATCCTAGCAATGTCAGCCGGTCTCTCAGCGAGCAATTGAGCGAAGAACTCGAGCAGAATTTGGCATTCCGGATTCGCATCATTCCCGTAGAAGGCGGCGCATTGGTAGCACTTGTTCTCTCCATTATTTGCCTTGCAACCATCGCAAATCAAATGGCCACACATCAGAAATGCGGTAATCGAGGGCTGACGCTCATGAATAGCTTCTTGCATCCTGGACAACACGGAAGTTCCGGAATGCCCTGAAGTTTGTATCCACTGTCAATTTTTTCGAACACCGGCTGGCTGAGAAGATCGAGAAGCCAATAGGCCGGGCCCCGGGGTAAACTGCTAGAAATAGCGCATCCGATCGTCATCTTGTCTCCATTGAAGCGGACGAGGGGTGTCTTCTCGAGCTCCCGCTTGCTTTCAAAAGGCGTCTGGCAGGTGTAGCAATTGAAGCTCTTGTAGATCCCCATGCGAGTTGACGATGGTCGAGTTGTGCAGGCTCCA